TAATATTACACTATTAAAGTTGCCTTTTGGCTTTTATTAGGATTTTTTCCAGAGATAAAAGCAGGCTGTGGGAGCAGAGGGAGCCCCAGCAATATCCATGGCCTTGGAGCTGACAGAGTGGGGAACCTCAAGCGAGGAATGCTGTGGTGAGGCTGGGACACGCAGAGGAGGAGGAAGAGGAGGAGGAGGAGGAGGGTGCTCAGCTGTGCATCCCTCAGCCCCAGCCTGGATGAAAGGAGCGGGAGAACAAACTGCAGGGATGCTCCAGTGGTCAGGGGATGCTTTTTTGGAAAAGGGGGAGCAAAAAACTCCCGGCACACTCGGAGCTGATTTTGCATCACCACCTCCTCTGCGAGTGCAGCTGGAGGCTGAAACCTCAGCAGGAGTTTCAGGTACCCAGAAACCTCCTGCTGAAACAGGGACAGGACCCCAGAGTCCCCATCCCACTCCCCCAGCCTGTGGACAGCTCAGGGAGGATTTTGTACAGGGCAGTTCCAAAGGAAAGGCTCTGGGAGGATGGGGATGAGCAGATAAAGCCCAAAGAGATGCACACAGAGCTTCTCCCCTGGGACCTTTGGGGGCTCTCCCCGTCCTCCCAGCCTGGCACGGACCCGTTTTTCTCTGTGCCTTTTCCAAAGGGGTGAGGGACCAGGACCCATCACACACACAGGGCTGGCAGGAAGGGAACCCCTCCAGAGGAGCATTGCTTCTAAACCACTCCAGTATGGCAAGGCAATGTTAACCAGCTGGGAAAGCTCTTTAAAGACCCTTCATGAAAGGCTGGCTGTTGCCCAGCCCCTTTCCCATCCCCAGCAGGAGTGTTTCCCAGTTTCCCGGCCTCTCTCCCGCTGCCCTCCATCCCTCACACTTTCCTTCCCTCTGCCATCTGCCAGCAGTGTGCTGCAGCTGCCAGGGGGGGTCTTCAGCAATCAGCCATCAGATGGAAGTTTAAACTCAGAGTAAAAGGGGGAAAAAAAAGGGAAAATTCCCTCAGTGTTGATTTCCAGGCGTGGCTGCCAGCCTGGGTGGCAGTGCTGGCACAGACCTGGCAGTGCCAGCCTGATCCTTCCCATCGCTGGCTTAGTGATCTGCACCAGCACTCCCGACCACATCAGCTGGGCAAAATGGGGCTGGATCAGCCCTTTCAGCTCCGTTCTCTCCTCCAACACCAGCTGTGGCATCACCAGGAGCCAGCCCCAAAGGCTCCAGCTGTGCCCCTCCTCCTGCCCATTCCCTGGGAGAGGAGCAGTGCTGGCAGTGCCCCATCCACCCCATACCCATGGGGGTTCACATTAGGGCCAGGGATTCACCTCCTGCCAGGGGAATCCTGCCAGAAAGACATCCATTTATTCTCCCATGTGATATAAATTCATTAAGTGAGGCAATGCCTCGCTCTTTCAAATCAAAGCATAAATTTGGCATTTGCACGTGCTGGCTGCACACAACCACACTGCTGCAGCCCCCAAAAGCAGCAGGAAGGATGCCCAGCACCCCTGGCAGCACCAGCTCCTGCTCCCTGAGCCAGGACAGCCTCTGCACCCTGGGCAAATCCTGTGGGGAGGCTCTCCCAGCTTTTCCAGCCCACAGGGGCCTGGCAGCACCAGCCTCACCTGGGCAATGTGGCGTGGGCCAGCTGGGGGAGTGGGAATTGATGGGCATTTCCAGGGAAGAGCATGAGTTTCCCTGTTACAGGTTATAAACGTTCAAGATGAAATGTGGCACTGCAAATCAGCCCTGCTGCTCTCCTCATCTCCAGACCCACGCAAAAGCAGGGAAATTTTAACTTCTTGCTTTTTGAGCTTTAATTTTTTTTTCTTTCTTTATTTCTTCCCTATTTTTGTACTTTCCCTTCTGTCCTCCTAAATCTGGTGGAACAGAAAAAGGAGTAAATAAAACATTTTGGAAAGCTCTTCCAGCCCTGCTCTTCCTGGCTTGTGGAGCGGAATGGAGAGGGAGGCCCAGAGCACGGGAACCACAAAACTTTGGATAGCTGGATTTTCAAAACAAAATCGGGTCTAGAAATGGAAACTTTGGTTAACTGAGATGGAGGTGAAAACTTCATTTCATACTTGGCTGCAAAGCTGGATCTTCATCATCCTCTTGTTCTGGCATTCCCCAATTAACCTGGTGCTCCAGAGACATTTTTCCAGCTCCACGAGCACAGGGGTGGGTTTTTGCCATCATCCCTTGAGCAAGCAGCTGCCCCAACTCCCTGTGTCCCAGAAAACAGCAGCACAGCTCAGCATCCTCTCGTTTAACTTTATTCCCAGAGGATTTGAGCAGGGAGATCCAGCAGTGAGACCTGTCCCTGAGCCTCTGGGGGAGTTTCAGAGCAATTCCCCCCGGAGAAGCTGTGGCTGCCCCTGCATCCCTGGCAGTGCCCAGGCCAGGTTGGACAGGGCTTGGAGCAGCTGGCACAGTGGGAGGTGTCCCTGCCATGGCAGGGGTGGCACTGGGTGGGCTTTAGGGTCCCTCCAACCCAAACCATTCCAGGATTCCATGACCCTGGAGGATGAAATGTCCCAGTGGAGAAGTACTCAGTGAGCCCTCAGAATTCCAAGGAATCTCTGCTCAAGCCGAGCCCTCCACGACAGCACAAGTGGGACAGGGCTGCTGTCACCATCCGCAGTGAAACACTTTTTTGGGAAGCACATCGCTCCACTGGAGCTCTTGAAAGCACCACCAACTCCGCCGAGGTGGATTTAAGCCTGTGCTCGGCTCAGAGCAGGAGCCGGGAGATTCCATCCCCTTCCTACCAAAGCTGCTTTTATTGTCTTGATCTAATGAAGTGCAGACTTCACCTGGACAGAGCCATAAGTGGCTCCTCTCGGAGGCAATGAATACAAATACTTGACCTCGTGAGCTGCGGGGCAGCAATTAGTTTAAGCAGGGGGTTTGTGTAACACTTCAAAAGTCTTAATCCGTGCGGTCAGCCCTGGCACGGTATTTGCCAGGGCGCATTGAGTAGTCTTAATGAGTCCGCAAAGCGAGCTTTCAATACATTTTGGGTCGCTTCAGATGCTTTAAATGGCATAGTCTATATGGTATTGTGCGGCTTTAGAAAGGGCCGGGCTTTAAAAAAGTATGGTTCCCTTTCACAGGGCAGACAGAAACCATCTTTAGAGCCGGGACCCTCAACGTTTTGCATATCAATACGGCTGGGGCTGAATGCAGTCACTCAGCTGAGAAATAGGATCACTATCAGCGTTTCCAGGCTTTCACAGGCACTTGGGAAACTTTAAAGCCCTTGGTGGAGAATAATTTGGTCGAATGTCGTGGCTGGAAACAAAACCCCAACAAGCAGAGCGCAGTCCATCATGCGGAGCTGCCGGCCAGGCTGACAAGGGGCTCCAGCCGCTCCGACATCCCGGGGGGACCCGGCCGGGCCGGGGGATGCTGAGTGCATCCCACTGCTCAAAACAGCTTAGAAACTGCTGTAAAATGGGTGTTATGTGCAGTAGATATAATTCGCGCCATTTCTAGTGTGATATATGTGATATTGAATATTTGTTGGAGTATACACGTTTGTATTAGGACCCCCCCCACCCTCGCAGGGAAACCTGGTGTGTGTTGGAACCTGATTTACAGGTAAAAGGATGTGGCTGGCCAGGAAATGGGGATGGGCCATGGCTGGAGAGATACGGGGACACCCAGGTGCTGATCATCGCGTGAGCAACCCGAGATGGATACCATGGACCTGGGATGATGGATATCATGGACCTGAGATGGATACCATGGACCTGGGATGACGGATATCATGGATCTGAGATGAATATCATGGACCTGAGATGATGGATATCATGGACCTGAGATGGATACCATGGACCTGAGATGATGGATATCATGGACCTGAGATGGATACCATGGACCTGGGATGACAGATATCATGGACCTGGGATGGATACCATGGACCCGAGATGGATCTCATGGACCTGAGATGGATCTCATGGACCCGAGATGGATCTCATGGACCTGAGATGGATACCATGGACCTGAGATGGATACCATGGACCTGAGATGATGGATATCATGGATCTGAGATGGATATCATGGACCTGAGATGATGGATATCATGGAAATCCTCAGGCAGATCCATGAGACAATCCTCACCTCCAGGGACACAACGAGGTGCCAGGACCCGGGACAGGGAGAGCTGTGTGGGAGGAACACCAGGGGTGGGTGTGAACGCATCCCAGAGCTAGGAGGAGAAGGGATGAGGCCCTTGCACATGCCAGAAGTGGTGCCTGCTTCCCTGACCGTGCCCAGGCAGCAGCAGCAGCGAGGAGAGGAGGCACCTGAGCAGCACAGGCAGCTCTGGGATGCTGCATGATGGAAGAAACCACAGCCAAAGCAGCTCTGCAAATAATGCAGGGCCTGAGGGCCCTCCAAAACTCACAATTAGCTCATTAAAGAGACAAATACAAGTCACTAATAAGATCTTAGAGGTTAATTAAATGTTTCCCCCATCTTTAATTAAGGGAAAACTAGTTAGTAGAGATTAAAGTAATTTCTGCAGCCTCCGGTGATGACCCTCGATGGCTGAAAAACTACTGAGATTATTGAACTGAATGGGCAGAGATGGGAAAATGGTGGAGAAGCTGGAATTGTCCTGCTAAGGGTTAGAAAGGCCCTGCCCCATCATGGGCCACCCGAGGAACATGTGAAGGTGACCCACAGCTCCCTCTCCCTAAGCCAGGACCAGGCATTTTTTCAGAACTGCTGCCGTTCGTTGTTTTGCTCAGCTGAGAAATTCCTACAAACTCTTTTTCAACTCCAAAAGATCTCCCAGGACTGGGGTTTGCTGCCCAGCCCTCCCCTGGCCAGCAGGGACTGTGTCACCCCCAGAACCTGGTCAAGCAAAACCCCGCAGAGGTTTCCAAAGGTTTCATTCTGGGGGTGGATCCATGCACACAAAGCCACCCTTCCACCCAGAACACTCCCAGGTAACGGAGATCAGCGAGGTTTATATGGAAGAATATTTAATCTGCTCAGGGAGGGGAGAGGGCTCATCTGTGCTTTTATTAAATATTTCTCTCTACTCCAGAAAAGTCCGTTTCTTGCCAGAAAAGGTCCGATATAAATTAGAACAAAGGGAGGAGGGTGCTGGTGGGGCGGCCATGGGCATCCCTGGACAACGATGACCACGGGCATCCCTGGACAATGTGACCAAGGGCATCCCTGGGCCATGATGGCCATGGGCATCCCTGGGCCATGATGGCCACGGGCATCCCTGGGCCATGATGGCCATGGGCATCCCCAAACCACAGTGACCACGAGGATCCCTGGGCCATGATGACCACGGGCATCCCTGGACAATGATGACCATGGGCATCCCTGGACAACGATGACCACAGGCATCCCTGGACAATGTGACCAAGGTCATCCCTGGGCCATGATGACCATGGGCATCCCTGGGCCATGATGAACATGGGCATCCCCAAACCACAGTGACCATGGGCATCCCTGGACCACACTGACCACGAGGATCCCTGGGCCATGATGACCATGGGCATCCCCAAACCACAGTGACCACGGGCATCCCTGGACCATACTGGCCATGAGGATCCCTTGACCACAATGACCATGGGCATCCCTGGACAGTAATGACCATGAGGATCCCTTGACCACGATGACCACAGGCATCCCTTGACCACGATGACCACGGGCATCCCTTGACCACAGTGACCACGGGCATCCTGAACTGCAGTCCTGGCAGCCCAGGTGCCAACCCGGCAGCGTGCCCTGGGGCTGGGCTCAGTCCCACCCAAAATCCTGCCCTGTCATCTGGTAAAACTTCATGTTGAAGGGTCTGTAGAACTCCCGCAGGCGCTGCACCACCTGCCCGTCGATTCTGGGGTGCGGCCGCCCCTTGGATTTCCCCAGGCAGCGGGGTTTGCTCCCCCCCTCCGGCTTCTTCAGGCAGGGAAAGCCCTTGGTCTGGTTGAAATAGAAATGTCTGTCTGTCACCAGCCTCTGGAGCCCCAGGAAGTCCTGCACACGGCCCATCTCCCCGGCGGGGTCGCTGACCAGCCTCTCCCCGCTGACGAAGAGGAATTTGGAGAGCGGGAAGTACTGCAGCCAGTTGTCCAGGTGCTTGGCGTAGATGCCGATCCTCACCGCGCTCCAGCTCGTGTCGATCAGTCCCGTGCTGAGGTTTTTGAAGGCCAGGGCCTGGAAGCTGGGGATGGAGGGGTTTTTGGAGAGGGTCTGTGTGTAGTCCGAGATGGCTCTGGTCACGGGGTCCCGCACCACCACGATCAGCTTGGTGTCCCGGGACATGTTGTGGATGCGCCGCGGGGCCTCCTTGGTGACAAAGTAGCTGGGGGTCTTCTCCATGGTGATCTGTCCCTCCAGGGTCCGTGGCATCAGGCTCCTGAGGAGATAGGGGATTTATTAAAAAAATACAGATATTGAACTAGTACCGATATCCAACTGTGACGGACAAAAACTCTGACAGTTTAAAGTTACAAAGTGTGTGTTTATTGTGTGTGGGATCACTCCCAAATCCACACTGCAGCTTCCAGGTGATTACAGAGTCTTTTTATCCATACAAGTATTGAATACACAAAATACAAATGCATATTCATCATTTTGGTACATCCCATTCCTCACTTCATATGCTAATCACTCCAAAAGCCATTCAGCATGCGTGGTTTGTCCCTTGAAATGGGTCGGTGTCCCTTTCATGGGGAGGGGTCCCAAAATGAGGAAGTCAATGAAGTCTTCCTCCTTCTGACCTTTCTACCTTTTCAATGCCAATATGACAAATGAACTCTTGGTGGAACTCCAATTCCTTGTCTTCAGTTGGTTTCAGAACAGAGGAGGCCACAATTGTCTTATGTTCCTAAAAGCTATTTGTCAGTTTATATTCTTCATTATAAACCCAGCTAACTAGACATTGTGCTGACGAGCAATCAATTATTAGTTAACTACTCACTCTTAACTTCATCAAGGCCTACTCATTTATTTTAATTAACTCTAGTAAGGCTTATTTCTAACTAAAATCTTAGCTCCTCCAAAATCTCTACATTCCTTAAAATTAACGTTTCACAGGGACATCATCTGCTCCCACCTGATGTCACCAGGGGTGGCAACAGGCCCCAAAACCCCGGCCAGAAATGTTCAAGGGTTTCCCAGCCACAGCCACATCTCCCCTTTCCCTCCTGCCCCACCTTGTCACACCCCCCTGGTCACCTCCTCATCATCAGAACCCTTCCTAGGAGCCCCCCAGCTCCGGGCTCTCAGCATTTTCTTTCTCCCTCCAGGGTCTGGGAAGGAGCTCCTTGTGGGAATCCAGGAATATCCTCTGGCTGCCCTGGGACCCTGGCAGGGGTCAGGAACCCCCCTGGACAGAGCCCCCAGAGACACTGGCTGTGATCTCTGCCCATGGAAAAGAGTTTTCAATCTTACAGGATGAATTACAAGCTCTGAGTGTTTGATATAAGTAATAATTAAGTGTGACACGGGTGCAAAAGTAAAATTTTGGGATTCTAGATGAGGGGTCCAAAGGGGACAAGATGGAGGAAATTGGGTGTGTCTTGTCCTTTTTCTCCCTCTTCATGCCCTCCATGTTTCACTGTGGTGTTGGCATTTTTCTGTTGGTTCAGGCTGGGGACACACTGTCCAACGTAGGTGACAGATATTGGCACGTTATTGTAAATCCAGCACAGGTAGTTTGTGGTATTTAATGTTTGTACCATCCCACTGAGGGCAGAGCCCCACACGCTGCCCTGCAGGACAGAGCTGCGGCAGGGCAGCAGAACATGTTAGAGATAAACAGAATAAACAACCTTGAAACAGCACAGACGAATTATGGCTTCTGCTTTGGCAGCGGGGCTGACAGAGACTTTCTACAATTTTGGGATCATCAATACCACAAATTCCGACAGCTCCCTGTCACCTGCCCCACCAGCAGCACCCACGGGGCACCTGCAGGCTGCTGCTCCCCCTTGGAATTCCCTCCCAGCCCTGGAAATCCCTCCTGCCCTTCTCCTGCCCCCAGATCGGCATCTCAACACAAACATTTGGGGAGGGGGCTGCTGTTCATCCCTGCCTCCAGTCAGATTTCACGAACTGGAGGTTTCAGCCCCGGTGGGATTGCAGAGGAAAATCCCATCATCATTGGAGGTGATGCCCAAGCACAGCTGGGAATGGAGATGCCCACCAAGGCTCCTTCCCCCTCTGCCCCCAGACAGGGAGCAGTTAAAGCCAGAAAAAGACTGTTTCCTTTTCAAAAGAAAGGCATAAAAACCCTGAGGGCCCTGCCATTGTGCGGGGTAAAATCCGCTGCTCCGATTGTTCCCTCGTGCACTTTAATGACGCATTAATTACTGCAGAAATTACCCAGCCGCGTCACCCCGTGGGACAGATCGGGTCCTCCCTGCCACCAGCACAGGCACCTGCCCCGCTGCCCTCCACCCCCGAGGGGAATCACAACATCCTGGAATGTTTGGGAAGTGCCACCCCTGCCAGGGTGGGGACACCTTCCACTGTCCCCAAATGCTCCAAACCCTGCTCTGCTCTGGGACAGTGCCAGGGGCAGCTGCAGGTTCTCCGGGAATTGCATCCCAGAATTGCATCCCAGAATTGCATCCCGGAATTGCATCCCGGAATTGCATCCCGCTGCTCGGGCTGTGCCTGCCAGGGAGCCGGGTCCCCATGGGGACAGGGACAGGGACAGTGCCAGGGCCGTGCTGGGGCAGCCACGGCTCTGCCCAGCAGCATCTGCTCCTTATGTCATGGGAAAAGCTTGAGGTTTCTGGGATTTTTCCCCGGACTCAGGAAAGAACACTTTATTAAAAGCATTTGCGAGCGACGCTGGGCCCCCACAGCTCCCTCCCCCAGACAAGAGGCAGAAGCCATTTGTGGCTTTCACCCCCCCCACTTTTATTTTCATTTTTTGCACAGTGCCAGCCTTTTTAGAGCCAATTCCTGTCCCTGGTGCCCTCACCTGGCAGCACAGCCCCTCTGTTTGGCACCAGTGATGTCAGAACTCCAAATGTCCCTCAGACATTTTTGGATGTTCCGGGCCCTGGTCAGAAGCATTTGAGACCCTGGCAGGCAGCTGGAAACAGCTGTGATTTTGGGTTTGGACCATGGAATGATTTACCAACTTTGCAGGAAGAACAAGAAGTCACAAAAGTTTAGATATTATAGTAGAAGTAGTCAGAAAGTAGAGGGAAGAATTTTTGAGTGCTGTACAGGGGGGTTTTGGTTTTGTACATGGGGGTCAGAGGTTTAAGATGGAGGGATTTGGGCCTGTCCTGTCCTCCCTCTTTCTTCTTCCTTACCTCCATGTTCTTGGTGATGTTGGCACTCACAGATTGGTTTAGAGTAGAAAGGCACCATTTAATATAGGTAATAGGCATCGGGGAAAAACTGTAAACATCCTGGGCAGGGGGTGAGAAGAAGTAGAAGGAGAAGAAGGAGAAGAAGAAGAAGAAGAAGAAGAAGAAGAAGAAGAAGAAGAAGAAGAAGAAGAAGAAGAAGAAGAAGAAGAAGAAGAAGAGGAGAAGGAGTCAGAGAGGATGTCAGGGTGTGTGTGTGCCTCTGCCTGAGCTGCTGAGCAAACTGCAGCAGCTCCAGAAGAAAATATTTTAGATAACTTGCAATAAACTGCCTTGAGACTGGACAACAGAGACTGCTGAGCCTTTCTTTGGAAGTACAGGTTGGAGGAGAGACTTTTCCAGCACACGGAGCCACCCCTGACCCAGGGTGGGCTTCGGCACAGTGGGATGCCCTTCAAGGGCATAAATTGTTTATTACCCAATTATTATTAATTATTACCCACAGCAAACACGGGGGATGGAGGACCCGGAGAACCCACGCTAAACCACAGCCAAGTCCTGGAAAAGCCCTCTCATCCCTCCCTTCCTCCTGCAGAGGGGCCAGGCTGAGCCCCCCAGGGCCTTCCACACCATCCACAGCTTAATCACAACGTAATTAACAGAAGTTTTAATGAAGCACGGGTTGGGAGGGGCCTCCCAGCGGCTCCTGTGGCTGGGATGGGCGCAGGGACCTTCATTCCATGAACTGCCCCATCCTGGGGACATCCCGGGGACATCCCGGGGACATCCCGGGATCCCCTTGGGATCAGCAATTAATTGTGCAACACCTCCTCTTCCTCAGCAGCCCAAGCACTCCCAGCTCCTCGCACAGTAATTAAACACTTTCCATTTTCATTAACGCCCTAACACTTCCCCTAAATTAGCCCGGTTAATTATTGATAACACCCAGCTCCCTCCAGCTCTGCCTTCAACCGGCAAAGAGCAGAGCTCGGCTTTGTTCCGCTCCACTTTTAGCCCAAACATTAGGAAGGTTAATTAAATTTACAGTTAATTCTTGCTGACCCTAAGAGAGCACCGTGGGAATGCCAAGCAGCGCCTGCAGGTACGGACACGGCACTGGGGGAGCCTTGGAAGGAATTGGGATTTCCAGAGGAGACTGTGTGCCCAGGAGGAGGGATAAAACCCCTTTGCCTCTCTGTTAAGCTGATAAATGTTTGTTTTTAATTAATAAAACAGCTGGCACTTGAGAGGCATCAGAGAAGGGGTTTCCTACACGGAGACATTCAACACATGAAAATGCTTCCTCAGTTAAGGTAACACACAATAAATTACAGCAGATAAAATGATGATAAAAATGAAGAAAGCTGCATTAAATAGTGATTAACAGCCACAGCAGGCGGGGAATCAAAGCAGACTTCAAAAACTGGGCCAACACAACTTTCCAGAGTTAATTGGTTCACGATTCCTGATGATTTTTGGAGCAGAACTCCTCCCAGCACCAAGCTGAGAGATCAGGGGATGCGCTCTCAGGAGATAAATAAGTCTCCAGCCCAAAGCATCCCTGAGTTATCACCCAGGGCAGCTCCAGGAAGAAAATTAACTCTGTCCCAGCCCCAGGCAGGAGGACAGGCTCTGCCTACAGCTCATCCCTGGAAATTCCAGGCAGAGACTTCCAGAGGGATCCAGCTCCAGCCCAAAGCCCCCATCAGCCCCCCGTGGGAATGATGGGTGCTGTGGGGTCAGGGGGGGTGGGTGACACCGGGTCAAGGCTCGCAGGTTCTGTGTTATCACCAAAACAAGAAATAAAGCGGGGGGAAATCCCCTCTCCATCAATATTTTTTCAAAATGAGCCCTGACACAAAAGCTGACCAAAAGGAGTGAAAGGCAGAGGTTTCTGCCCGAGGGAGGGGGGACACGGCTGAAGCTGTCTGCAGGGCAAAGGGACTTTGCAGGGACCTGGATGGGGCTGGGCACCCTGGGGACAAACCAAGGGCACATTGGGGACAAACCCTGGACACGCTGGGGACAAAACCAGAGCACACTGGGGACAAACCAATGGCTGGGGACAAACCCTGGGCACATTGGG